AGCCAATGAAGCTGGGATGCATCCTGTTAAGTGCCACAGCTACAGTGCATCTCAACATTTCTCGCACAAACATCTCTATTAAGACTGACTGATTGTGTCAATGTCTGCATAAACACTTTATGAAAGTGCATTAGTGAGAAACTCCATAAACAAGACTTTGTTTCACAAAACTGCTGGGTAATGAGATGCCTGCATTATTCATGACAATCTGAAGGATCCTATGTTACATAAAAGTATCATCAAGCAAATACAAATCATTAACTTATTATTCCAATTAAAACCAGCTTTTAAATCAGTCATACAATCTGCATTTCTTCTAATTGTAATGAGTTCTATTTTTATCCTGGTTTGATGTTGTTAAATAATGTTTTATCTCTCAAAAGCTCAAGTCAGTTAAGCAACAAAGAAACATGACATTCTTCTTATGTATTGCAATGGTGAATATGTCATATGTCCTGTTACCATGAAGAGTCAGATTTAATACCTAAGTTCCCAATATTAACACAAACATATTTGAAATGCCTAATCACTAAATGGAGCTCATACATTGAGGCAGACAACATGTATTCTAAAATACACTGCTGGTGTACATCCAGGAAGTGACAAAATCAGCCACTTTAATGAAGGGCACGTCCTTCCACTGATGAATGGCTAAAATTGCTTTCTCAAATGTAGCTGCCGCAAAGCAGACAAAAGCTAAGTTCTTGCTCAATACTGAAGTGCTCAATATGCACCTGTGTTTGTGACGTAAACCAGCAAGTCTATTCATCCCGAAATAACGGTGGCACTTGAGTGACAGTCAATAAAAAGAAAATGTACAAAGGAAATAATGGCATTGAAAGAACCGCTCAAGCTTCTATCTAAAAATTATCTATTACAAATATTCTGAATCTGATCAGCGACATCCTGCTCATGTATTAAAGGCATGGCTACAAACATTGCCTGGTTTTTTAGCTCAACATCACTGATCACCCTTTTTCTAAGTAAGTGACGAACCTTAGCTAATTAATCGAGAGCCGTACCCCAATCCCGTTTACGTCAGAGTTAGCAGATGTTTACAATTGCCTCGGGAGTTCTGTGCCCCTGAGGCAATTTAATAATGCCTGTTAAAAGTTTGGATAGTGGATCAAGTTTGCAACAACCATTTATGTGACACTTAATGGAAAGTCAGTTATCAGTGAGGGCTGTCATTTGAGCTTTCTGAAATACAAATTAGTTTATTTAATTTGTAGAGTCAAAAAACAACCAAAGCAAGGCAGCAGGGCAAATTCAAATGCATTATACAAAACATGAACATATAATTGTCAGGAGCCGACAAAATAGCTTAGATAAAAAAGAATATAAAAAAAACCTGGCCATTCCTCCATAACAGAGTGCAGTGAAGATTCTGATGATACTTCCAGTCAGGTAAAGCGAGCATGGTCTGTTTGAAGTGGCTAACTGTCATATTTTTGGCATGTACAGTATTACACAGTAACATCTTCTGACATGCTGAGGAGACAAGACACTTTATGTTAAAAAGCTGTCTGCAATGTAAAGTTGTCGAATACACTGATAAAGACAGTGATGCCCTGGAATCAGTACAAAGAAGAGGTGCAATATTCATTTGTGGAGATTATGAATGGGACAGCAGTGTCACAGAAATGCTTAAGCGGTTGAACTGGATGGAATTGAGTGAAAAGGCAGGGATTGTCTCGTTTGGTTCTCTTCTTCAAGATTGTCCATAACATCTCAGCCATTGATGCATCAATGTACCTAGAGCCAGTTAGAAGTGCAACCCGCAAAGCCAACTCTTTGAACTTCAAGAGAATTTTCGCTACTAGTGACACTCTTAAGCCTCTTACACACCGAGCCGATTATTGGCGTCGATAGATGTCGATAGATATCGGGCCGTCGATGGGCGTCGTGTCGCCCTACTCAGATTGGTGTGTACTGCACCGTCGTGTCTTTTCGATCGTGCCGACACCTTCCGCCGCCGATTTCACACGTTGAATCAGGCGGCCGTCGGCCAAATAAATCACTCTGATTGGCTGTTCAGCTAAGCGAATCAGTGCATGAGAAGCGAAATGGAAGTGAGGGACCCAAACAAACTATTAAGAAGGCAAATGTGAGATTTCATTCAACTCCAGCTCTCAACACAGGTTCGGGAAAGCCCCATGAGCTTCTCGCTGTAGAGTGAAAATGGAACGCACACGCTATTTGTTGTTTGTTTATATCAAGCAGTCTGTTCTTCTTCTCTCTGTGTATCACGCAGTCTGTCTTCCGGTTGTTGCCTCTGAATGACAAATACACACTACCGCCGCCTGCTAGTAAGGAGAGTTATTGCCACTCACGCATGCGCAGTTCCCTCGTGCAACTTGGCCGTCGGCTGAAGTCTTTGCGGTGTGTTCCAGTGCGAAACATGGCCAAGACGCAGGAGACGTGAGGCGACGTTCCATCGGGACGTGTTCTTTGGTGTGTAAGAGGATTAAAATACTCTTTCTTTCCGAGAACAATCAGAGAGTGGAACTGTCATTGCAGAGTCCGTGGAGTGCTTCCGGCAAACTTTAAGTGACATTTAGCGGGGATCATCCATCCCCCACTGAGCGTGATACCTCTGGGTTCTGCTCAGTGTTAATCCAGACCCAGATCCAGGATGAGTCCCTGTACTCTCCACATAATCATTTAATGGCATGCCGGGCCTTTTAAGTGGCACTGTACTTCCGCCACAAAATATACCAAAGGCAGCGAATAAGACCTCCCGAGCATGGTTGCCATGGTTGCCTGGTTGCCCTTCTGTTTATTCTCCGCGTTGGATTCAGCGGGGGAGAGCAGCAGAGGTGGGGAGAGGCAGGGCTCTGGCTGTTTCGACGGCCTCTGTTTCTCTTTTTCTCCCTCCCCGAGACGGGGAACTGCACCCACTGCCACTAATGCCCCTTTCACACCAATGCGTTATCAGGGCCGGCTCGGAGCTAGACCCTGAAAAGTACCGGTTATTCCTCTTCACACAGCAGCGGCGCCGCCTCTTAGCTCCGGAATCCGGTTTGTTTTCCAGCTCCAAAAACTTGTCGGTCTAGAAGCAAGACTCTGGAGCTAAGAGGCGGCGTCTCTTACGTCGAGGCGTGCAGGAAACTAAACCCACCTCCCCTGAACATGGGTCGACTGAAGAGTCTCGTCATGCCTGCCTACAAGCAGGTGAGCAAAGTGACTAGAAGTTCTAGTCACTTTGCTCACCTGCTTGTAGGCAGGCATGACGAGACTCTTCAGTCGACCCATGTTCAGGGGAGGTGGGTTTAGTTTCCTGCACGCCTCGANAACTGGAACACACCGCAAAGACGTTCAGCCGACGGCCAAGTTGCACGTACGAACTGCGCATGCGTGAGTGGCAATAACTCTCCTTAACAGCAGGCGGCGGTAGTGTGTATTCGTCATCCAAAAGAGGCAACA